CCAGAAAAGGAAATAAAAAATCAAAAAGAGTGAATTTTTTGGGGTGCTTGAGAGGTGGGCTTTTTTAAAATTTAATATTTTTAATGCATGCTTGTAACCTTTAAAAGCAGAGAACTAATTTCACCACGGTAGATGGTCACAGTGTAACATGTCTCTGCAACCCTCTTTCTTGTTCTCTCCTGCAAGCCCTGCTCCTGCACCCCTTCGTTCCTTCCCGAGCCATGGAGAGGCTACATACTCTGTAAGGTATTGAAAGGCCCTAGTCAAACTAACAGAGAGGCAGACACGGCTGCACCATTCCTTCCTTCCTTTGTCACCCAAGTTTAAACACTGCAGCCTTGAACTGCTCTTTAGTAGCTAAGACTATAGATGCGTGTACCACCATGCCTGGCCCCTTTTCCATGTTTTTTCCCCTGGACTCTCCCTACTCTACCATCCCCAAATTAGAATCTTCCAGTGGTCTCTATTTTAGCAACTCCTGTGTGTGCTCTCCTGAAATAGTACATGCCCCACACTTAACATATTGACTGCCACACTAGAAAAATTTTTTCCTTGGGGTCATGGTGTTTTATTATGAAAATAGAAGAAAAACTTTGAAAATAAAATGATCCTTTCTAATTTAATGAAAAATTCGTTATTTTTTATTATTTTCTGTGCATGAATTATATGCAACTTGAAAATTATTTCACATGGTTCCCAAAGTGAAGAGACATGTAAGTTACATGTGTTTCACAATGTCCCGGGCTCAAAACTAGCATGAGTTAAATACAGTTTACATGGTAGCTAATGTGTTAAACTCTCCAACTCAAGCCAAATCAAAATTTAAGCATACATTTTGAGGTATTTCTGGCTAATAATATTACAATGAGTTGCATTTTAATAGTGAGGATTTGGGAGACTCCCATTATAGTCTAGTTAATGACAATGCAGAGCAGATTTCAGGAATGCTGGGGAGGCCAGAATTCAGGTGATATGAATGAGTCAGCACTTCTGCAGCACTCTTCACATCTCAGCATATGCTTATTAATATGGCAGGTCCTGAGTTTAGGGAACCTGTAGTCTCATTGTGATATACATGGGAAGGCAGTTTCTCACATGAATTTACGTGAGTCGGACTTACTTCAATGTAGATATAGTGCTTGCTGTTCTCTATCACATGGATGTAAGCAGTGTGGATGGACTCTTCATGGTACTTTATACCAGCAGACCAATCAGCAGCAGAACGGAGCAACTACAAGGCAGCAATCAGAAATGAACAACCATAAGACAATGAAGATGACACCAGACATCTTAATGCAATAAAGTCACTCTTTTTCTTCCAGACACAACCAAATGATTACAGTGGCTTGAGTGTGATGTGTGAACCAAGGGAGAGGAGGGGTGTGAAGAATGCTGCTGAAGAAGAGGTGGGAAAGGAACTTGTCCTTGGATGTAGTCCATAAGGAAGTAGACCAATGGAAATCACATCCTGAATATACCCTCTTCCACCAGGATTATTTTCATTCGAAATTGGAAACCACAGGGTGTGGTTTCCACAAAGAATACTTCAGAAGTACCTCTTCTGGTGGCTATTAGTAGGGTGACCATTTGTATTCTTTTCCTATGACAATCCTACAATGACACCAGAATGCCTGATGTATTTATTAATAGTACTTTCACTCTCAACAGCGTCCTGGTCTGGATCATGTGGTATTGTCATCTTAGCTCTGACTTAATAATGTGATTATTCGTTTTTTTCCCCAATAGATATTATTCAGATTAATACATTCTAAAAGATAGTTCATTTAGGCATGTAATCTTATTCTGCCTTTAATTAGCTGTCTGTTCCCTGGCATGTCTCTCTAACCTAAACTTTCTCATGGTGATAACAGTAGGAATCCAATCGCAAGAAAGAATACTGAGGCTCAGCGAAGTGAAGTAACTTGCATGGTGTCGCGAGGTACTAACAGAGGCATCAGACTTTGAATTTGTCTCTTCTCATTCCATATCCTATGTCTATCCACCATGCCACACTGTTTTGCCATTTCATCACATCTGTGTGTCATACCAATCAATTTGGAGTTGACCCTATCACCTCAGATTAAATGGATCAAAGCCGAGCTCATAACTGTTTTCCCTATGCCATGTCCCATCTCAAATACCCAGTGGGCCAGGTACCATCATTTTATCAGTCTTTAAAGTAAGCGACCTTTGGGGGCTGTGTGGTATGCCTCTTCTCCCAGAGTCTACATCCAGTCTCACATATGATTCTGTTTATTCTTTGGAGGATTTGTCAGATTTGCCCCTTTCTCAGCACTTGTACTGTATCCCTCCATTCAGACATTCATCCACTCACCTGGATTACACGAGTTTCTAGCTCAGACACCTGAATACAGGTTAAAGACACTGATGCAGAGCAGGACTGCCTAGGTTCAAAGCTGAGCTCAACTACCTACCGGATATTGATCATGGTCATGTTTCTTAACCTCTTTGTGCCTCACATATTTGCTCTATAAACCAGAGTTCTACTTTATAGGGCTGTAGAGACAATTAAATGAATTACTGTGAAATGTGTAGCAGGAGGCCTGAAATCTGTTAAGCATTGCATATATGTTATAATTAATGAGAGCAATAGAAGATTCATTTGAACTGTGGCGGGTCATGTCAGAGCAGACCATGGCCGAGCACGGGAGTGAGGGCTAGAGGAGGTGGAAGGAAGGCTTTCCCAACACTAAGCAACCATTCGGTGTCATTTTTTTTTCTGGTAATCTAACTAAGTACTGCAGTATGATGTTGGCAGATAGTAGGTCCTTAAACAATAACATGACGTCACAGAAGAATCACTATAGGAATAGATTTGCTAGTCCTAATTTGAAATGAATATTGAAAGTGTCCCTAATGAGGTCAACTGAAGTTTGAAAACAAAAACAATGGCCCCACACTTATTATGAATATACAAAGTAATCCAATACATAATCAGCTCCATGTCTGCTATATATAAAAGGTCAGGTAAAATTCTTGCTCTAATCAATAAGTTTAAAATTACATTAGTAAGGCTCCTGAAATTCTAACCTAGTACTTACTAAAAATCATTCATCGTGCCATCCTCAATTATGTTATTCCTTTATCCAGTATGAGGTTTTTATTACAAAGTATCTCCCCTCAAAGCATTTTGATTTTATCATATGAATATGTGCAATATTTCAAAATTTAATCATGAACCTGAATAGTTAAATATCACAGAATACTAACAAGGAAAATTTAGATAAATATGATCCATACTGGGAAAATACCTTGATTTTACACATCTCCAAGGAACTGCATTATGATTCATCAGTAGAAATAACAAAGATTGAACAAATAGAATTTTGAATGCTCAGTCCATTCAAATTAATGTTGAGTTTCGTTGCTAAGGAGCAGGGCTCTGAAAATGCAAGTCACCTGGAGAAGATTTTTATGCCATGACCCCCACGCATCCTGATCTAATTCAGATCTAATTCTACATAACTCTGGAAACAATGTATAAAATTGCTGAGTATACTGGAAAGATAGAAACTCTGGAGAAGCTGTGTTAACAGCTCTGCATTTACTAGCTCTTTCATTTTGGAAAAGTCTTTTTAACATCATGGAGGCTCAGTTTCCTCCACTGTATAACTGAAACCCTTCTCGCTCTCTCTCCCTCTCACTCTCTCTGCTCCCTCCCTCCAAGCTGCTGTGAAGAGAAATGTCATAACAAACACAAAATGCTAACAATGGTATGTGGCACTTAGTACTAGATATTCCATCCATGGTATGTCTACCTCTGTAAAGTTATAGGCAAAGTTTATGTTACCACCCTTAGTGGTAACATTTGGGTCTTGGCCTCAAATCGAAAACCCTTATACTTCCTTTCCTTTCCCACTCTCAAAATGTGCTCTGATTCAGAGATTCAATAAGCTCATTCACATAAGATATAAATTAGGAGTGTCAAGCAGGTGTTGACTCGCACGTCAAGTCCAATAGATTCAGAGTGGCTTCCTGGATGGCCATGTTGCAGAGGATTCTTAGAACCTGGCAGACTGGGGAAGGAACCTGAGGTTGATTACCAATGGCTGCATGAAAGCAGAAGTGTGAAGGTCATGGATTTGCCATTTTCCCTGTGAACGTTTCCCTTTCTGGAAGCATTTAAATGTTTAAGCAAAGCAGTAAGCCAAAAGAAGACCATTTTATGTACCAGCCTGTGGGACAGCATAAGAGAAAGTGGAGGGGCCTCCTCGACGCCTGTAAAGCCGTCTGTGAGAGGTGGTCCACCTCCTGAGGGGCTTCAGCAGCATCCATCCCACTGTCTGAGTCCGAACCCATATCCTTTAGTCACAGGGAAACTCATTTAATTTTAAAAAGTCATCATTTTTGGCTAAACTTGAAACATACCTTTTAAGCAACACAGAAAAAAAATCACTTGGGATTATTATTCACTATTATTCTAATTAGTTAAAATTCCCTATCACCACAAGATAAACTGAAAATATAAATTTCCTTCTTGCTCTGCCTGCACTCTTGAACCACGCAACCCTGAGGTTATGTCAAAATCAACTGAACTGCTTGGAATGCTTGATGGTCTAGAAAGTTTTATCAACAGTCCAATAAGTCAAACACACTTTGATTGATTTTTTTGTTTGTTTTAAATATTAAGATTTACTCTCTTCTTTTTCTTCACTGACCTGACCAACTAATCTTGCATTTCTGTTTTAAACCAATGTGACTTAGATAAGCCTCAAACTCCTTCCTCACATACAAAAATGTGGCTTATCTTACTGTCCCAAATGTGCTGGGAAGCAAATCTAACCCAAACTTTTCAAACCTCAAGTTTGAATACATAATTTTAAAGTAAAAAAAAAAAAAATAGCATATTTCAGACTTTATGGTTTAGCCTCCAAATTGTAACTTGGACCAGTCATTTTCCTTTGTACTATATCCTATTTTTTAACTTAAAACATAGCCTTCTCTTTAACCACAAGTCCTAATCCCTTTTTATACTAGAGGCTGAGGTTATATTTATGGGCTACATAACAGAAATGTCTTACTGAAGAGGAACTTTCAGAACTTTCTTAGTATTTGTCCCAAGTTCTTTTCTTTTCTTTTACCATGATGCTTTTATTCCCTATAAATCCAGCACATTCCTTGTTATTCCTCTAAGAGTCCAAGTCCATCATGGAACAAAGCCTGTTTAGCACCAAAGCACTTTTTTATATGCCCCTGAAGCAGAGCCTGGCTTCTGTATAGACACTCACAGGTGGGTTGGGGAGAGAAGGGAAGTACTTAGATCATTGGGCCTTATTCTCCCAGTCTGTATTGAGGAGAACAGCAGGCAAGGAACATTGTGAACTTGACCTAGTTCACGAATCTGCCTCATCCAATCAAGCTCTTTCTTCAATAACCACTTTTCTGTAGTTGAGCGTCAGCCATTGATACCATGGTGTGCAGTTATTCACACAAGATGATCCTTTTGCCTGGACAAAAGGGAGAAGTGCTTGTGGCTGAAGGAGAGAAAGAAAAATTTTGAAGACAAGTACTTAAGGAGAAAGAAAACCTGGTACACTTGGAGGCTCTTGGGAGCCAGAAAAAAGCAAAGGGGGATTTGGGGCTGTGGCAACAGAAGATGATACCAAAAGTCAAACACGACATGCAGCTTTGTGAGAGCCTGAGCAGTTACAACCATCCTGGTCTAACTGAAAGCTGCCTCCGTAGTCATAGTTACCGCCTCGGGCACTGAAGCCCAGCTGCTTAGAGTCGCATCCCATCCCCACCACTTCTGCTATTTTACCCTCTCAAAGTCTTGGTTTCCTCGTCTGTAAAAAACTGGGGTTGCACAGGAGTACAGCTCACAGACTGGCGAATATAAACGAGATAATCCACAGACAACTTAGCGCAGCGCTGGGCGCAGAGTAAGCGCTCTCTGTCTGTATCAGCTTCCCAGCCGGGACCCACGGTGACACTCACGCAAGTGCTAGTGCATGAAGACCTGGTTCCATGTGGAAAACACCTCCCATGGTAAGTCACTTCCATGGAAATGAGTAAAGTGGATTCCTTTTCCCCACCTACTCACTTTATTCTCTCTATAGTCAAAACATTCTACAGTTAAAACATTTTTCTCTCCTTTGAAATCTAATGAATCCTTTGGAGTGCCATTTGGACATTTATCCCAAGCGTCAGAACAGATTTTTCCAGTAGTATAATTTGGATGCCATTTACATTTGCTCACAAATTTTCTCT